GATCCTTGCCGTCCTCATCCACCTGTGATACAGATGTCTCATCATTCCTCATACTCACACTCCAACATTTCCACCCACTGAACGCCAGATCAGTGAGAGAATTAGCACTGGATCAAGAAATGAAAATATATTTTAAAAGAAGGAGAAAAAAGGAAGAAAACCTAAAAGGTAGAGGGGAGGTATGAAAAATTAGGCAGAAATAAACATGGCAACTTACACAGGGTTGGTATGTCATGGTGACATTTCAGCTCAATGTGGTTGAGACCAGGCTGTCCTACTTCTCAAGCACAGATATTTAAATCTTGCAAGTGAGAAGTAATACAGTGAAAGAGAAAGTATAGTTAATACTATTCAATGCCCCCCTCTTTCCAAAGGTGAAGCAGTCAAGAACTAGAAAATAAGAGCACAAAGATTTCATGAGTGAACGTTCCCTAGAGACCCTCAGACATAGTATCACAGAGAAGGGGAAGGAGTAGAGGGTAGACAACAAGGCTGAAAGAGGTAAGAGCTAGTCAGAGGCCAAGTAGATTAGAATCTACTTCTTAACTCTGTAAGGAAAACAAAGAGTGAAATATGAGAAGATGGTAAGTATGGTAGTCTAACATTTTATTTCATTTTCTTTTTAGGTTGTAGAATACAAATACATTTTTTCTATAGGCTGAGGGAACCAAACAAGTAGAGTAGGAGAAATTAAATATAAAAGCAAAAGAGAATTATTAGTCAAGCCAATTCCCAGGGAAATGGAAAAAGAAAGAAGCAAAACCACAAGTAGAATGCTTAAGATTAGAGGACTTTGAGATTAAGGTTAGAGGAATTGTCTGATTTAAAAGAAAATAATAACTGTAAAAGCAAAATATGCAATTATGAAGCAATTATGAAGACTGGACCATGGATGGTGTCAATTTCCATTTTTCTAAAGTATCTTCATCTACAAAAGAAAGCTTCAAAAAACAAGGCATGGCATCCTCTCTTTTCTTTAAATAATAAAGAGATTCTTTAGGAATAACTTTTCATTTTCCTTTCTGCCACTCTTGGAAGTTTTCTAGCAGTCAAAATTGACATGATAACATGATTTACTTCTGAGCAGTCACCACATTTTTCTAAATTCTTTTCAGTATCCCTTAGTAGATAGCTTCACTAGATAAAATGACCTATCTCAAGTTGCCACGTTTTAAACAGAGGTTGATTTTTCCGTTGATTAGCAATCATTTTACTTTTTGCTGTTATATCATTAGAGACTCTCTTGACAGTTTCAAGTTGTTAAAATACTGGGTTTTTTCTTTCAATCTTTTACTTTATAAATCACTACATCAACTCTTCATGTAGGTAGGATAATAATGCCAGAAAATAGGTCACCGAGCATTGAGCCATAATTATAACTATATAGTTATACAACTATAACTGGGTAGAAATCAATCCTATAATTTTAGACAAATGAATGCAAAAATACTAATTTTTGCCTTGTTCTTAATCAACTGAGAAACTCGAAGCCACTTCTGCATCCTACCTCCCAGAAAAACTGGGTTTAACAAAATGATGACTATTATTATGAAATGGTCTGGACTTCAAATTCAACATTAGGGGATGACTGAAAATATATTTTGTATTTGTACGGTTCTTTTCACTTCAGAATCTCAAAGTTGCTTGACTTTTTCAAATCCGTATTACATTGGCAAGCCACCAAACCAAGCACCGGTAAGGGATATTACCAGAAAAGTAAATCAAAGGAAGTGTCAGTGAGTTTCCCACCCAATGTAATATCAATTTGTTTAATATCTGAGAATAGCATTTAGGATTTAAGACAAATGCCTGTGAATTCTAAATCAACTTCAAGTCAATACGCCTGGGAAATAAAAAATACCGAGGTATTCATTATGCAAATATAGAACAGAAATGTATAATTCTGTTACAAAGAGAAATGGAACATTATTTTAGTGAGGGATTTTCAAATATCATTAAAGACTGTCTAGGTTTGCTGGTGTCAGAAATGATAAAAAATCTACAACTGGTTAATTACATTATATCTTTAAATAATAATATTTTACTAGCATTACTACTTTTGAGAAAGTACTGAAATCAATTTCATTTACTAAATAACTGTTTTTAGAGAACCACACCAAATGGGATTACTACCTATGAATTGCTAATTGAGACAGCTCCACATGTTGATTTCTGTCAACATCTGAGAAATACAATTTTAAACATTAGATAATGTTGTATGCAATTTACATAGCTTGAGAACTAATATACATTTAATAATACAATATTACTTGGTTAATATACTTAGCTAATATAATATACAATTAGTTAACATATAAGATACTGAGTTAATATAAGTAATAAACATCACTTAGTTAATATTTATAATGACACATAGCAATATATAAAGTGAATAAAATATAATTAGTGAATTAGTTAATATGCCACACTTTTTATAAAAAAAAATCTTTGACTATTGCATTCATATGTTAACCTCCCAAAGCCTATTTGTCCATAATGAGAAGACACCAACCTATTAGAACAGTTGGAAAGTATTCCAACATACTTTACTAGTAGACTTTTCCCACATGGCCTAAGTTTTATTTTCTGAATCCAAAGCCATAATAACCCAAATGATGCCTCAGTTGTTAAATTCACTGCAGGTAAAAGCTCCTTTTAATGAAAATGGTTGAGATACAATGAAAATGGTTGAGATACAAAGAGAATGGGAAGCTGCAGTCACCACGCTCTCGGGCAGAAGGCGGCAGCAGGTGAAGAGTCTGGACATTCCTTCAAGAGAGTCCTCTGTACGCTGCATATCTACTCTATTACCAGGTTCTCACTTAGGCTTTATTGTTTATTTTTTGATTATAAAATAAACTATGATTATAAAAGTGTAATTGTGTCAAAATCTAAATATTCTTTAATTTTAAAAAGCACCATTTCAGAGCTTCCCTGGTGGTGCAGTGGTCGAGAGTCCGCCTGCCGATGCAGGGGACACGGATTCGTGCCCCAGTCCGGGAAGATCTCACATGCCGCGGAGCGGCTAGGCCCGTGAGCCATGGCCGCTGAGCCTGCGTGTCCGGAGCCTGTGCTCCGCGACGGGAGAGGCCACAACGGTGAGAGGCCCGTGTACCGCAAAAAAAAAAAAAAAAAAGAAAGCATCATTTCATAAAATAATTTTGTAGTTGATGTTATAATTTTCTATTCTGTTTAACTGATGAGACAATTTTATTCTAATGCACTCAGTAAAAATTAATGTGGCATTGTAATGTGTTAATATCTGAGTGCATGACCTGCTCATTTTTGTTTTCTTAAATTATGGGCTCATTCATTCTTAACCCAGAAAAAAGAAAAAGAAAAAAATATATATCATCACTCTGTCAAGTTCCAAGAAAACCCTCCTAGAATTTTTATACAGATTGTCTGAATATTATAAAAACTGATAGGGTCAATAGTTTTTCCTACCTGGGATCATGACATCATTTACCACAAAGTACAACTTACCCCTCAGTAAAGTAATATAATTTTCTATCTTAGATCCTCTACATTTGTATCAGGATTATTTCTAACATAATAAAGAAATAAAATTAAGTTAAGTAGTGAAATAAAGCCAACAAATTATTTTTATTGTTTATTTTGTGAACAGGATCTCTTTTCTATTATTCTTTTTTTTTTTTACATTATGGAAATCTAGTAACTTCTATATCTTTATTTTAAAATCAATAACCTTACTGAAGTATCTTATTAGTTCCAACGAATTTTCTGTTGTCTCCTAAAACTTTGTGAATTCACATGTTAAGGCCTAATTTCTGTGGTAAATACTTGAAATTTATTGTATTTAATCCTTATTTTAGAAACTTTGGAAATAATATATATATGGTCTGAGTTCAACATATGTATATTTTTTTGACTAACTGAAAAAATAAAAGAAAGAAGAGAGATGCCTGTGAAAACTGGAAAGAATTATCTGTGTATAAAGTGTTATAATTATCCTTCCTTTATATCATCCATCTCCATACCTTTAACAATCATTTGCTCCTGGTTCTGTTTTCTAGCAGGCAGCCAGTCATCTCCTGCCAAAAATTCATGTCAACATATCCAAAAGCAAACTCATCATCTTTCTCCACAGCTGTTAAGTAACCAATTCTTCTCCTATGAATTCCTGTTACATTGTATTTTATCACTTAAAGAGTTTCAGTATATTTCTGCATCCTTCATCTCCTCTAAGGGAAAATATAACTCTTAAAAGCAGATACTAATTATTTATAAATGTTTTTAGCTCACAACACATGTAGGCTCTCACTGAACATGGGATGAACTCAACTGAATTCCACCTTCTCACAGGTGGGTTGTATCCTGGCCCAGGGGCAGTGAGAGCTGTCATCCCGGGCTGTTGATGACATGCATCCTTCCCATTCATTCGGTTGCCATGACTATGGCACAGTGAGCCATCCTTCTACTGCTTACCTCATTGGGACACACCCCTAGAAATAGTAGGTTCAGAATGTGGGTCATTCACGGGACTAGCAGAGGTGCCACCCAGAGGGGCTGATGCGAGGAAGACTAGGATCCCGGATGGGATGAGAGGGCAGCGGAGTCTGCTCACCACTGATTGAAAATGAAGAAATTGAGAGCAGTTCTTCACCCAAACACAACATCGAGGCAATCCACATCTACACTGCCTATGACATTTGCCTCTTTAATAATAAAGATAATCCTGCAAATGATAAACTGTCCCTAAAATAGCCTGTGGTGTAGGAAAGTTACAGTGTTCAAGGTTTCTACCTGCATGGGATCTGGTCCTCTTTAACACAGTTGTTAGCTCCTTTAAAGACCAGTAAACTAGGTTCTACCAAGATGTCGGATTCCTAGCAACAGTCATACATCAGGTAGTTTAACTTACTATCAAAAGCCTCAAGAGAGGTAAATCAATGTATATTATCTTGGTGGCCCTTCATCCCAAAACATTTTTTCAGTGAAAACACACGCCCTTCTGGGTATATCACCCAGATGCTTACGTCAAATTCGTTCAGAGCCGCAGCCAGCTCCCCGATGCCCGTGTGGCCTTTGGCTTCGTCGGTGGGCGAGGTAGCTTGAGCAGCATTGGAGATGCCGGCAATGGCCTCCTGCACTTGTTTGAACACGTAATCTCGGTTGGCTCTCGTGGCGGCAACATCTGGGTGGCGGAGGAAGGCTTGGGAGGCTGTGTACAGCATTGTGGCGTTCTTCTTTAGAGCCCCTCGGGCGGCTGCCATCTCATCCCGACAATGAGGGTCCTTCAGCTCCTGTGTGTGCAAAACACAAACCCGTCACTTCCATGAAGCTTGCCATGGAAGTGTCTGTAATAGAGCTTAAAGTCACAGACATCTAGGACCACTGAATTTTAGAAACCATCTCCTCTCTCTTCTCTCTAGCTGCCAAGACTTTGCACGTACTGTTCTTTCTATGTGAAATATCTGAGCATCCCTCTTCCACCCTATCCTTTCCCCTAATGGGGCCCATCCTCTGAGAACCTACTCTCCATACAACTCTCTAAGCTACATCCCCTTCTATCTGTTCCCACAAGACCCTCTTCCCTCCTATCATTAATACTCATCAATGCTTTATTGTATTTACTTATTTAAGCATATGTCTTTCTCCTAAACTGTATGTCTAATGAGAGCAGAGAGCCCTAGCTATCTTGCTCAGTGGTTCTTTAGGCAACAGCACAGTATCTGGCCCATGAAATGCATTCAATAAATATTGCTGCAAGAATGTCAAAACTGAGCCACCAACAAGGTAAGTGGCTTGAATGGATCAGAGTTAGTTATCAGCAGATGGAAAACCCAAACTTCAGTTTTCTGATACTGTGCCTGACTCCACATTCAATTACAATCGCAAACATGGGAAATCGAACTCCTCTGATTTTTCTTAGTGCATCACTGTCACTTCATTATCATTTTCAGCATAGGGTTCATTTTTTTTTAAAACTACTTTTGATGGCGGATCACTCATTTGAGTTTAGGGAATAATAAAAAAAATAGATCAAAGATGATTTGCTTTCTTAGTTTGAGATGTCAAAATAGTACCACTGGAGAGTCTCTTTATTTTCAGCTTTAAAGGGTATTGTTAAGAAAATGTTCACAGCATTTTTGGGAATGTTAAAGGCAGTACTGTTCTCTGAGAACCATGTAGGACTGCCAGCTGAGTACCTCTGGGAGAAAATTTCTCTAGCTTCAAAATCTATCATTAGAGGGTATTTGAACCACTGGGGTTCTATTCCTATTTGTTCACTTGGTACATGATAGATGGATGACCTGGAAACAGTGAATTACATCTCTTCCATGGGTCAAAATAATTCTGAGACAAGCACATTATATTTGATATCTAAGATTGTCAAGACAAACTGACATTAAGTAGTAAATAACTAACTGAGCCATCTATCCCCCTTTGCTTAAGCACTAACAGATATATGCCAGCCAACACAATTTCTAAATTGGGATGACTTATTTTTAGCCCTAAAGATCAACACAGATAAATGGGGAACCAACATGTGAGGGTATCCTCTACACTGGTCAATAATCTAGCTGGTGCAGGTAGAAGTTTCCTCCCAACTAGTCATGAAGGGTCTTATTAACCTCCAGAACACCTGGTCCAGAAACCTTAGACTCCATTCTGGGATATATCTATACTAAAAAAAAAAAAAAAATCTAAATATGAAAGTGAGAAATAGGGGGTGGGAAATTCTTTCCATAAAGATATTTTTAGAAACATTTTTAATCACATGAATAAAACCTGTAAACAATGTAAATGCTGATTTATGAAGAATTGGTTAAGTAGACTATTGAAGTTTTCATTTGATGGACTCTTTATGTGGATATTAAAAGAAGTTTCTATAAAAATAATAAAATGGGTAATATTTATAAGATAAATAAAGAAGAACATTTTACACCTATTTGTATGCACGGTATGATTGTAAATATGTTACAATATGAAGATAAACAACTGAAAAGTAATATACCAAAATATTAGCACGACACTTCTGTGGCTGGTAGAGTGTTATACGATTTTTTTCTTCTTTTAATTCTACTTTTTTCCCTACATTTTCTTGAAAGAGTGTGAAATAGCAATTAGTTAAAACAAGGTTTATGAGATAAAAATAAATTATATTTATGGGCATTCTCAGATGAATATCTCATATATTACTGTGGATTTTAATACCAGCTACATGCTGATGACTTGTTTCCATCTCCAACCCACATCTCTCTCCTTTTGACATTTCTACATGGATTTTACAAGCGTCTCAAAATCAATGCATCTAAGTATGAAATCTTGATCTCGAACCCTCACTGGTCCCTTTCCAGTCTTCACCCATCTCAGTAAATTCCTCACCATCTATCCATTTGCTCAAACAGAACCTCAGATGTGAACTGGTTGCTGTCACTCCCTAAACTCCCACAGCCAATTGCACAGCAGGTCCTGAGTGTTCTATTTTCAAAATAAATGTGGACTCCCTATGCTTTTCTCCACCGGTACTGCTGCCAAGCTATTTGAGACCACCAATGAGGCAGAAAAGACACAGCTGGGCCCCAGGACAGCCTCCTCATGTACAGGCATGAGTCAGAAGGCAAAGCTACCTCCTTGTTTTGCCCTTACTGAGGCCATGATGCATGGAGGAATGGCATCTAAAACAGAAACTTTGTAGCATCTGAGCAAGAAACTCTGACCATGAAAAACCATGGAGCATGTGCAATAAAAATGCACAGGTTGCTGATGACCCTATAGGACCTTCCACGTGTGGCACTCAACTAGTAAGGGACAATTTAAGGGAAAACAGCTCCTAGAGTGCATGTAGGGTGGCTTCAGGAGACAAACGCACAGGACCAGAAGCTGATGCAACCTGGTGCAAATCCAGGCCACACCTCAACCCTCTGCTCAAAGAATATTCCCCCCTAATCAAAAAGGCCCCCACCCATTCAAAGTGCTAAAAATAAGACAAAAAGGGGATCAATAACCCTGGGTGGCACCCCTCACTCTAGAGGACGCCCACACGCTTCTCTGAGTGTGTAACTTTTGCTTCTGTCCTGAATAAACTGTGTCTTTGTTCTCTTTGCACCTCAGACTCAGTGTGCGTATTTATTTTTTCCTCTGTGTTTTGTGTTCCTCACCAAATTCTTTTGGACGAATTGAACGAGAGCCTGAACTTTTGATAAAGATTTTCCAGAATCACCAGCATCGCTCACCTAGATGACTTCAGCCCCCCCCCC